GAAACTATATAAAAGCTAAAACTGGGATAGAAAACAACCACAACAACAACACGAGGACAACATCTTTCGATTTTTTTGTGTGTGCAGCAGCATCAACAACAACAGCAGCAACATTGTTTTAGCCTTTTCTAGAACTATTGATAAAATATATTAAAAAAAAAAAAAAAAACAATATAAAAAATATATGTACACAATTTTATGTTTAAATAGATTACAGACAGGCTAAAAATAATCACAGCAGCTGTTCAATCAGCCAAGTGATATCACAGTCATCCACCCACACATATGAACACCCCACGGCACAGAGCTGAAAACAAAAACATGCTACAATTGCAAGCGAGAGTCTGTGCTTATCAACAGCACATTAGCAAAAGCTTCATCAGTTTATTGAGCATAGTTTTAAAGAAATTATTTGAAATACAAAATTTACATAATGTACTACTACAGAAAACAATTATAAATTATTGTATAAACTGGCTAACAAAAATGGCAGCTGCTGTGTGTATTTAATTTTGCTTTCCAGAGGTAAACAGATGAGCGCACCAGCGGCAACTGCGCTTTAACACCTTTGTAATTTCAAAGGCACCGAATTTTTAGTTGACTGATTGCAGTGGGTTGGCAGCGCAGCCGAAAAATTGAATTATGTTATCGATATATTTCAAAACTCACTCATGTGGTTTTTTAGTGTTTAGCAACGCTTTTTTATATGCGGTTGCCTGCTCTGAATTGATTCCAGTGCGGCTCATTTACAGTTCTCAGTTTGCGAACGTCGCGTTACCGCTGCTGCTGTTAGACGGGAAATATTATACGTACATATCGGTCGATAATGAGAATCAGCTGGATATAAGCTGACTTTATACACGACAATAACAGCCAATCGACACAGCGCAACAGCAACAATTAGTAGATCCATTACTCAAAATTAAAATGGGACAAAAAGTGTCGCGCAATGATTTCGAATGGGTTTATACGGAAGAGCCGCATGCCTCGCGTCGCAAAATCATACTCGAGAAATATCCGCAAATCAAGAAACTCTTTGGACATGATCCCAACTTTAAATGGATAGCCGGCGCGATGGTGCTGACCCAAATACTGGCCCTGTTCATTGTCAAGGACCTGTCGTGGCCCTGGCTCTTGGCATCAGCCTATTGCTTTGGCGGCATTCTGAATCATTCGCTAATGCTAGCAGTGCACGAAATATCCCACAATTTGGCCTTTGGCCACAGCCGGCCCATGCACAATAGAGTGTTTGGCTTCTTTTGCAATTTGCCCATAGGACTACCCATGAGCATTTCGTTCAAAAAATATCACTTGGAACATCATCGGTAAGCTGGAACGACTGTTGATTTGATGACGTTATGTGTTCATATATATATACATGCATACACAGACTCATGCGCTCTGTACGCTGTGTGCCGGCTGAGTACTATATTTATATGTATATATAGGCAATTTAAATCTGCTCATATGTATTTGTTTTTGGGGCGTCGCCTTTAGAAGATTGCTCTACCCACACACATCCAAGACCGGCTGGGGCGTTTTGTAACACTAACAAACACAATAAAAACGCGCTCTGCGCAAATTTCCCTTCCCATTCACGCTCTCCCTTTTTCTCTCTCTCTCTTGCTCTTGCTCAATAGCTTATCAACGTCTAAGTATAGTTTCAGGGAAATAGCTGTAATAAGACTATTCAAAGTGTATTTAAATTATATTTCCCTTCAAAACAGCGACATTTGTGAGTCAACAACAAATACAATCTAATTGAAGGGTATTTGCGTATATGCCGATATGCACGTTAATAATTGCGATAAGATTTGAAAGTTTATATGGTTTAAATAGTTTATGCATATCAGAAGCTACGTAATTGAATAACTGTTCCAATTGGTCACGTACCCGGTCTCACTTTATTATTTATTTATTTGTTTATATGCTTGGAAATCATGTGGAAAGGTTTGTGTTTGCTTCGTCCCCCCATCTGAGTCATTCGCTCAAGCTGTGTGTTTTGGTGTGCAATTTATGCCGGCACTTCGGCAATGCAGTAATTGATTTATTTGCCAAGCACTTCAGAAATATCAAAATTCTTGTTCTTGTCTATATAATCAGACTACACTCTACTTTTATTATCCAATCCACTTTGAAGGTCGCCTTATCTGTTAATAAACTGAAATCTTAAGTACTTTCATAATACTTCACTGTTACAGAGGCATTGCCTTAAATGATTATGTTAACACTTTCGTTTGCCATTTCTCTGTTATACATATTTTGATGTAATAACATAAATTATTTAACGGACATTTGAATCGGCACTAATTTTGATGAACATCTAATGAAAATATATTATTTGTTACTTTTAATGATTAAGCATTTTTGAAAATTGATTTTTATTAACAGCGCTAATCTGGCGACCATTGTCCACCTCATAATTCACATACATACGTTGTATTTTCATTTTTATTCTTTGATAACCCACAATTGAGTCACATGGCGAATCATAGCGGCTCACGTAAGTTTGGCAGCCAGGTGTTAATAATTAGTGGGTCGCGTTTATCTAATCTGTTAGTTACTTGAATGCCTTGTTTATGGGCCCTCCATCCGACTGATAAAGCAAACAAACTAAAGCTTTAAGTAGAAATCTAGTTTTAAAGCAAACAGTTTTCAGTGAATCCAAGACATATTCTTTATTCTATGATATTCTACTTTTATAAAATTTTTACAACTTCCTGGAATAAACAATCGACTTGAGTCTTGATAATTTTCGGAATTTTAATGGGCTCAATTGATAATACTAATGACAAACATAATTAAAAGATAGCACTTGATATAAAGTTGTTACCATGCGCTGTAGTTCCCCCACATCAATCATAATTAAAACGTCAATTTTCAGTTGTTTTACGTGTTGTTTAAGAGACAACAACTAACTGATTTATATAATACATTTTTAGATAAATTCTAGATAATTAATCGCTAAAAAATGGTCAAAAACAAGTTTGTAAAATGTTTATAAAGATAGCCAAAAATATGTTCGTTAAAAGAACTTTTCGAGATAAGAGATAGAATTTGAGACAAGGCTAAAAACAAAAACCTAATTAAACGTAGAAAAATATTGTAGTCTCTATATATAATGGAGGGGTAATAGAAGAAAACAATTTATTTTAGCTCAGGTAAGAAATCTTGAGATGATATGTATAATATAAATATATATTAATTCAAATCGAAATTTGTATGTATAATTTATATACTTAACTTATATGCTATTCCCTAAATCGTTTAATTAATCTCACTAATAATCAATCTCAACTCTTAATTTACTTACAGTTATCAAGGCGATGAAGTGATTGATACGGATATACCCACATTGCTGGAGGCGCGACTATTCGATACGACATTTGGTAAATTTGTGTGGGTCTGCCTGCAGCCGTTCTTCTACATATTCCGTCCGCTGGTGGTGAACCCGAAACCGCCGACACGTCTGGAGATAGTTAATACGATCATACAGCTGACATTCAATGCGGCTGTGGTTTATTTCATCGGTTGGAAGGCAATGGCATATCTGCTGATTGGCTCGATATTGGCCATGGGCTTGCATCCGGTGGCCGGGCACTTCATATCGGAGCACTATATGTTTGCCAAGGGCTTTGAGACATACTCATATTACGGTCCACTCAATTGGATCACCTTCAATGTGGGCTATCACAATGAACATCACGACTTTCCGTCAGTGCCCGGCTCTCGGCTGCCGGAGGTGAAACGCATCGCCAAGGAGTTTTACGAGACGATGCCACAGCACACCAGCTGGACGCGTGTGCTCTACGACTTCGTAATGGATCCGGCTGTGGGCCCATATGCGCGCGTCAAGCGGCGTCAGCGCGGACTGGCATCCTAAGATGAGGCGTGGCGAGGCGAGGCGAGGCTTGGCGAGGCGCCCACCCCATTCGTATTGGCGAATGTTGCAATGATTTTACTAGCGGTTTCCTGGCATTATGTAATCTCAGTGTTTAGCTTTAGAACTAAGTAGATATTTTATTCGATTTCTCTTCTCAAGGGGCAAGCGAAAGCAAGCGCAACTACTACTAAATATGCCTGCCAAATTCTAGATTTTTGTATAACTGATTTATGGCTTAAAAACTAGAAGCATTGATTGTTAAGCGCTATTATTAAACTATTATTGTTACCTCGGCACACAACTGCAAACGAAGGCATGTTAAAAATGATAAATTATTGTAAATCTTGTCCAACTGATATGCAAATATATATATGTATGTTTATATATGAATATATGTATTGCAAAACAGAAGAAGATTAATATGTTGTAGTGCTTTAGTATTTTCTAAATATGTATATTTCTAAATTAATGCCTAATGCTGCAGCACACAGTACCAACTATTTTTGATAGCCTCTTGTAACTAATGTCACATGAACAAAAGCCAAAAGCAAATCTAACTAATGTAAACTCCACTGCACGCGGCATTAGAAATTATATATATATATACATATATACATTTAATAACGATTGTGTACCATACTCGTATGCGTAATAAACCAAAAGAGAACATGTAATTTTCAGAAAATGTGTTTTGCTCAACTCCATTTTCCACTGGCAATTATATGTATGTACGCTCGTATTTATCTGATTCTATATTCGTGTCATGTGAAACATGCAACGCGAATTGTAATTTCCCTTGATTGACTTTCAATTTGAAAACCGATTATCGAGACCGACAAACAAATGATAAGCATATGATTCTATATAGCATTCCCAGACGCATCGGCCTTGCCTTCGTCAGCGATTGTATAATGGGTATAGACCCGCTTTATTTGACATTTTTTAATCGATTTATAAACTTAATGAGAAATGATAAAAAAAACAATAAAATTTACAAATGCCATTTGATTGAGTCTAAAAACAATTTGTGACGAAACCAAATCGATAATTTAATTGTGGCTAAATGGCATATGGGTTCTTCAAACGTATATACCCCGAAAAATCCATTTTATTTGAATTCTTAGTACGTGGGGTCTAAAATTTTTATATATTTATTATTTGTTGTTTATTATTTTGTGTGAATGAAAAAAAGTTAATCTAGAACTTCCTCCTTTTACTAGATAATATATTTATTTAGTGTTCATTTCATTAATGAACTTTAAACAAGGGTCTTTCGACATTGACATTCATTTGTCTGATTATGTGGGAAATGGGTTTTATTTTATTTATAATTTTTTTGAATGAAAAAATAAATGAAGAAAAAATTCTATAGAAATCTATTAGACTAAATTTTTTATTCTTTTAATATACTTTAAATTTTATATAGTAATTTTAGAACTTGATAGAATTTTGATAAGTGTCTTTTGAGTCATCCTCTTAAATCAGAATCTAGTTTAAAGTGGGTTCCTTTCTAATCTGTATAATATATACTCATAAATCATATAACTGCTATAGTCTAGCAATCTCTTATTTATTATCAACGAAAATACAGAATTACTATACGAATCTATATTTATATGATTAACTTAATTAATTGAAAATTCGATGAAGATATAAAATAAGGGATTCCAAGAAATAGAGCAAAAGCCGAAATTATCAGGGGAAATAATGAACTTCTCGTCTATCTATAAAAGTTGAGTTTATACAAATTTGCTAATTAGAATATTACAATTATGAATGAAAGCAGCTTGATCTAATCGATCTATGAAAAGCTTAACAAATAAAATCCTTTACAACTATTTATAAAATCACAATAAACACAATAATATATTGGCTTATTGGATTTTTTTTTTTGCAATTGAAACTAGATTACACTTTCCCGCTTGACCTAATCTAAGGAAGAAATTCATGCTTACATATATGGACGCCATAAAACAAATATGAAGTGAGTCAAAAGTTAGACCACTAAATGATTCAAGTCAAGTATGAGTCACGGCAAAGTAAATAATCTATTTGTGTACAAAGAATGTTCTAAGATGAAGTCCAATATTTAGTTCCCATTTAGTTGGGCTCCCAAGAAATTCCTCGTATTTTGGCATTAGCTAACACTGAAAGGATAAGATTACGTTACACAATAATGCTTGTAACTTTAACCATTGCGTTTAACTAAAACAAGTTAATCTCCATGGAAACCAGTGAACAACATTTGCTCATGACCCTGAACAGAACAGGTGTTAACTTTTTATTCCAACCAATAACACTTTTTGCACACTATCGAAATATTTGTCATGACAAGAAGAAGAGAAATATATGCGTGCATTTTTAGCAAAAGCGTATCATGCGAGTGTTTACAAACAACAAGCGCAGATAACTATTTCCACATAACTATTTACTGTTATCATTGCGCCCAGGTGCTCCCTGTTAGTCTAGGGGCCTTAGGGCCCCATTCACATGGAACTGCCAGACGCTGGTTAGGCTATGACTAACGGGTTATTTGTCAATGACATGGCACACGTGTTGAGAGAGGGATTGGTCATTCAACAAGTCAATCAAGGTCAGATAATGCAGATAGCTTACACAATTAATTAATCAACATCAAATTAGTCAATTATCAATATGTACTATAATTAAATAAAAACTCACAGTTTTCTGTTTTTAAATACTATTTATATATAATTTATTTATATGTATAATAGAATTACATATTGTGGGTTCTTGTGGAAACGGGCGGGGCTCTAAGGTTTGATTTGTTGTTATTGTTGTTTGTGGTTGTTTAAAGAAATCGTACATGGTTTAGCTTAATTAAATAAAATGTTTTGCGCCTTAATATTTTAGGGATCTTTTCTCTTCGTCGTTTTGCTTTTCCTCTCATCCTTTTCTCTTTCTCATTTCAATTTTTGTGGTTTGTTTCCTTTAAACTTTGGGTTTTGCTGTTAATAACCCGGTTAATTATTTTTACACACTTAAAAAATGATTTTACAAACTGTTTTGTTTTTTTAATTAGTTTTTTATCGCATAGGTCTAAGCTTTTTGTTGTACGTTGAGAAGTTTTTTTGTTTTTTGCAATTTTTTTTTTTTGTATTTTTTTTATGTACTTTTTTTTCAGAGTGGCTTGTTCTCTAATTAGCAGACTAAATTTAAATTAAAAATTATTCAATTTTTATTTTATTTTATTTATTTTTTTATATTTCCATTTTGTTTGTAAATGTAAACTTAGCATTAGGGCTGCAATTTACTTATATAATATGTTCCTTTTTTTAATGATCTTTTGTCAACAAATTTTTGCTTTTGTTGTTTTTTTCTTTAGATTTATCTGTGCATTATTTATGCTACATTAATTTTAGTATAATTTTAATTAAATCGTTTTGTAGTAGGAAAAAAACAAATAAAACATACAAGAGAAAAATTGGTTACAGCGCGCCACGCGTCCAGAAATTATCGCATATCAAGTTAATGGAAGATATTTATGTATATAAATGGTATATATATATATATCATATGCATTTATAAAATAACAATTAAATTTTACTTGGCTTTTCACTTTAAGTAAACAGAAAAACTGTACAGAAGTAAAATGTAGTAAATATTTTTTTGCTTTTTGTTTTTGTTTTTTAAATTGTTCTTTGAATGAAGAAATTAAAATAAAATAAAATAAAAAATAACGTAAAAAACGCGCGCGCGTCGCACAAAACTTAAAGCGAACACAAACTGTAAATTAAATTAACAAAAACTAATAGTAGCAGGTAATGGTAAATTAAATATATATATACATATATACGTATGTATATATATATATTAGTTATATTTACATTTAGTAAATATATAAGAGAACGTTAAACGAACGTAAAAAATGTGTACCGCACCTACACATACAAAATTTGTTTATATGTTTTGCATTTTACAGTTGAACAAATTCACTTAAAAGTTTGCTTCTCAATAGTGAGTCTGTGTGTGTGTGTGTCTGTTGATTTTTACGTAGCATTATAATAGCAATAATTAGTAAATATGTACTACAAAAAACGTTTAAGTGACTTTTTTTACTAAAACTTAGTAAATACCGTTTAACGCATGTGTGGGTGTGTGTGCTTTATGATCCGTGTGTCTGTATTACGTTCTGCCTATGCATGTGTGTGTGTGTTTGATAAACATGTGTATAAACACTGCGAAAGCAGTTTATCGATTAATCACAAGCACATTTAATCGAAGGTGCTGCCAACCGTTGTCAAATTGCTGTTTTCTTTTTGCTTGCGATCTACGTCGCTCCATGCTTTCTCCTCCTCCTCCTCATTTTTGCTCTTTACGCGTCGCTCTCTTTCTCCCTCTCTGCTCCACTCTCTCTACCGCGCTGACTGCGCTGCCCGCTGCTTGCCCGGCGTCCCTGTGTTCAGCGTCAGGCTGCTCGTCGTCGTTGTGGTCACCGTCAGGCTGCTGCTGCCGCCGGCCACTCCCACACTGACCGTCTTGGAGCAACGTATGCAAATGTAATCATCGTCGGCCTTAATCTGGCTGCGATTGAGGCCCACACAGTACATGTGAAACCATTCGTTGCAGCCGCCGTCGCATTGCACCCAGTCCACCTCACGCCCCGTCGGCTTATGGCAATTCTCGGCGCGGCACTCCTCCTCGTCGTCCTCCTGGGCCGTTTGCTGTGTGCGTTGCGCATGCTTCTTCTGGCCGCCACCTGTTGTCGTGTTGCTGTTGCTGCCAGATGTGGGCGTGCCGCCCCCGCTGCCACCTCCAGCATTGCTGTTGTTGCTGCTATTGTTGTTATTATTGTTGTTGTTGTTTGTGGTTGTTGTAGTGCGTTTGCGTTTCTTTTGCCCAGCCGACGGTATGGGTGTGGTGGCTCCCGCCGATCCCGGCGTCGTTGGCGTCGCCGTCGTCGTATTGCCACCATTCGCCTGCTTGTTCTCCGCATCGGCATCGACGCCCGGCGAGCTGCTCGCCTTGCTGTCACTCTTGCGCACCGCCGCCGGCGTCTTCTTGCCCGGCGTCTGCTTGGGTGTATTCTGTTTCTTGCGCGGCACCGCCACATTGGCGCTGCTTGCATCGTTGGAGCGCCGTTTCTTATTCCGTACCGCTGGGCTGGCACCGCTGCCAGCGCCGGGACTTGGACTATTTTGTACGAGCAGACTATCGTTGGAGTCCTCGGCGCCGCTATTTACACTGGATGCGTTGGTCAATGTTGACGCCGTCGTCTGACTTGGCTGCTGCTGGCGATGTTGCTGCAAGTACTGCGCCACTCGTGCCTTGGCCTCCGCCTGCAGCGGTGTGGGCGGTAACGTTTCCAGTATGCGCCACAGCTCTTGCGTCTCATCCAGCGACACCTCCAGCAGATCGCCCTCCATCATAAGCTCGAGCAGATTCTCAATTTCGCTGTCGGACAGCAGCTTCAAGAGATCAGTGCTGCCGCCGCCGCCGCCGCTGTTGTTGTTGGTGGTGCTGGTGGTTTGCGCATTGCCTTGAGCCAATCGCGACAGCTGCTC